AACACAATAACATCATTGTGGGTATAAGACAAGGCACATTGTTACATAAGAGTTATAGCTCACTGATTAGGCACAAGGGAAAATAACAGCTAGTGGCTAGTTTATCCCCCCCATCCCGCTCCTTCTGTTTCTCTAGTATTGGTCACATCATGTCACTTTTGGTGTTTTCCCAAAATGAATGACATCTGAAGTTTAACTAAAAGTGAGCATGTTAAAGCTGATGTTGTGTGAAGTCACATTAAAGAAATCTTCTGCTGGTCTAGCGGTATAAATAAGCCAGGCTGTGAAAATGCACAAACACTAATTTATATAAATATGGTTGCTTTCATTTTTCTGTCACATTTTCCTCCATAGAGAGAAAATATTTGCACAACCTCATGGCACTTCCGACAAACAGCTTTTCCTCAGCTAAACCGAGAGCTTACCAGCGTCTCTTTTTTTTGGGATTTGTTGTCCACACGGCGCAAGTTGCTTTTGACTTTAAGGAACTCGGCTGCCAATGGCTCTTGTGGAGGCTGTGGAGCTGGGTAGCTGGGGGGTGGAGGGGGTCTCGGAGGAGACTCTGGGGGAGGCGGTGGGGGAAAGGGCGGCGGTGGTGGCGGAAGCTTGGAGGCTCCATCATCAGGCTCCTCATTCTTCTTGTGCGTATCGGAGCTGATGTCTGGGTTTAGCATATCCATGTAGGCCTGCATGTCTGAAATGGCTGTCTCTGGTGCACCTGTGAAAACAACAGCCTGTTACAGGAAGGAAAATGTGTGCATTTGTAAAACATTCCCTCCAGTCTACATCTGATTACACAACTGAGAGATGAATGAGAAACATGAATGTCACACTAATGACGTCTGCACACAGGCCACTAGGGTGCAGCACTAGTATGGCACCTTTGACATCAAGCGACAGCAAGCAAACTGCTCCATGCTGTTTCCTGCGCTTTGCTGACTGTATTATTGCTGAAATACCATAATAGTAGAGTCAGGATATAGACTGAAGATAGCAAGCCTTTCATGCAGCAATCTTATTAAGATGAGATTAAATATAATATCATATATGTAGCTGTTGATCTGATCGGCATTTGTCATTCTGAAATGCTTGAAAAAAATACATATTATATCCTTAATGTGTAAAGAGCAGCAGACCTGTGTGTGCAACTGCGCTCAGCTGAGCAGGTGGGCCTCGTGACGTTGTCAAGCTGCTCCTCTTCTCCCCAGTGCTGGACTGACTGGAGTTGGCTGAGTCGTAGTTGGACAGGGAGCTGGATGGTGAACCGATGTCAAAGTGTGCTGCCTGGGCGGAAGGAGGCATGGTGGTGTTTGGGGAGGACAGGCCAGAGTCTGGCTGCTTGTACTCAAGGTCCGTCGAGGGATCCCGGGACAAAACGCGGTGCTCCACACTCTGCGAGGGGACAAGTTTTATGAACATTCAATTTTCACGATTGTTCAATTTATTCTACTTGGTTGTCTGATATATGGATATCATTTCCACATTACTAAAACAAAGCAAAAAGCATTTGTACATCAATTAATTACTTATTAATCATTAATAAAACACATCTGGTTCATTAATTTTTAGATTTAGGAAGATACAGGGTCATTATGGCAGGCTCATAAATTTGTCTCTTATTAAAATCTACATGTGCATTCATCAGCTGTTAAATTTCACTGCCACTCAGTCCCTGGTGACTTAACAAGGAGAAGAACAGCATTACAGGCACACTAATGAAACACCTCACAGCTAGTGAGAATGGCTCTGGGGATCTTTTTGCTTTTCCCACAATGCAGGACTCAATTGGCTGAATGCGCCCCATGAGAAAGAGCACAAGAAGAGAGAAATATGTCATCGATGCCAAACGAGCTCTGTGAGAAAGAATTATTCCCCTGGCCACTCAGGAACATCAGAGGGTTAAGGCCATGGAGAGCACTGTGTGTCAGGTAGCTTGACTAATTATCTGAGTCTGAAGTCTGTCATGGGAGGCAGGTTCATAGAAAGCTAAACATTATTGAAATATCTCCATTATTCATTCTATCTATCTATCTATTAGGGGTGCAACGATACTCGTATCGATATTGAACCGTTGGATACAGTGCTTTCGGTTCGGTACGCATATGTATCGAACAATACAAAATTT